CTATGTATAACCAACTGAACAGCATCCAGTCAAAGTTAGGGGAGAGAAACATGATGAACAATCTTATAGTTTCTGAAACAATACTAAAAATGGCATTAGGCTACATTTGTTGACGAGCACACGTTAAGGACTGGAAGCTCTCAGTGCAGGACTTGGCTCTTCACTAAGAACTTGCAAAACAATGGCTTTCTTCCACCTCTGTTTTTTTATAAAGCTTTTGCTACCATTCAGACATACCCAACGTGATACACCCAAAGTGTTTGGGTTTGGAGATTTTAAGAAGGGATAAAATGACCAGCAGAGCTGCCCAGATACTCTGAGTGTTAGAAGTAAACACTGTCCTAATGCTCCACTTCATACCAGCTTAACTACTTTACACTGGGAGCCTCTGCTTGACAGGCTGGGTCCTTCCCTAGCTTCTCTCTAAACAAAGGGCCGCCAAGACGTGGGCAAACAGAGGAAATCATACACCTGTCTGCAAGGAGAGCTGACGTTCTTTCACAGGCAAAAACAGTTGAATCAGAAGTAAAGCAGTCTGATTTAGTTCAGATATCCAAACGAATGCTGCAAAATCTCCCTATAAGGTTGACCGTATGAGGCGTTGTGTTTCTGCGGCATTCCTCTAAGGCTATGTGGACCAGACTGGCAGACTGGGTAGTCATGAGTAACATTTTACCGCAAAGGGAAGAAGGTCTGGTGTGTGGGCTGCATGGGTGGGTTGTCTGTGTGTGTGTAGTCATTAGGGATGCCAGCGATTATTCGATTATTCGATTATTCGTTACAGTCTCCATAATCGAATATTATTTTTAAAAATCGATTTTATTAATATATTTTTTTATTAATATTTATGTTTTTCTTTTTTTTCCTGGTTTGGTTTCAACCAAAATATAGACTAATGCTAATAATAGTAATAGTATTAATAATTGTAAATGACCATTGATCACACCACCAGTTTGTTTTACTGTAAACTTGGAGGAAGCCAGCAGCGCAGAGTGCAGACTGCTGCTGCAGCCTGACACACCGACCCCGCCCCGCCCCCTCCGTCGTGGAAGGAGGCGGTTTCCTTGAGTTTATGGCAAGCGTGGAACCAGATTACAGGGTCCCGGGCCGTACTCTTATCAACTGTCTCAAAGGTGTCGATAACCACCGACGGGTGGACGGCACTTACAACTAAATCCTATCTTACCATAACCTGCCATTATATCGATAGTGAATGGGAGATGAAGAGTGCGGTTAATTTAGCTGAGGGGCTCCGCAGTGCTCTGTGCCCTCGGAAAGGGTTTTTTCGGCGGCAGGACTAATCCTTAACCGGCTGCGCTCTCGCCTACACCCATACATACATACACATAAAGTAGGCTATTTATTTAATTTATTTCAATGATGCTATTATTAATACTGTTCTACCTGAAGAGCCCTTTTGTACCATGTACACGTTCCAGTAAAAGAAAACAACGGAATACCATTTGTCAGTGTTTTTTTTTTCCTCCTCCCGGGAGGGGGGAGGGGGAGGGGGGGTGGCGATTAATCGATTAATATTCGCCAGGGCTGTCCGATCTTCGATTTTGGTCATGGTCAGTTTCTGGCATCCCTAGTAGTCATGTGTACATACATGCGTTAGGAGACCTGAAAACAACGTTCCTTTCACCTCAGGCAGAACATGAATTGAAGCCGTCTCATCTTGCATTTGTAACCCCCCTGAAGTGTCTTCAAGGGGCAAAGCAGAGTATCAGTGAGGTCACGGTGACATGGGGAAATCCTTCGTTAGACGTCAGAGTTTCGGAGCAGAGAGAAAGGCAAGACAGGAGGGCTCATAAAAGAGACAAGGACTTTCATTCAGCGACTCCATGTGTCCTTATATTGCCGTCTTTCAACGTGCTCTTCTCACTTTTTCAGCTTTTGCCTTGGACTGGATCCTGTCCCTTACCCTAAAGAAAAGTAATCCTTAACTCATTCTTTCACTCCATATGCACGTATCACTATAATCAACGCTTGTTTTCCACCTCAAAGGCAGCTATTGGTCGTGGCATTGCTTGGTGGTGAGAGATGGACAGCCAGCATGCGGACACACAGCCTTATTACTCGGAGAGAGAGAAGAGAGCAATGATAAGACCCGGCCTTTACACATACTGATAGGTAGAGCGAACACACACACATACAAATACAGGCATGTATTTGTGAGATATTTGTTTGAGTGCCAAGCCTAAGTGTTCAACCTTTATCATGAAAATTCATTAAAGCAGAAAGGTCAGAATAAAACTAGTTTCAAAAGCTGGATGTTAGCCAGCATACACTCTTTAATTCAACAACTGTGTATTAGATTTACATAATATTACGCAACAGCTATGCAGGTGACATTCCTATGCAAATAATCAAGCCAATATTAAACTCTGCACAAATGTGTGAGATGTGTTAAAAGGCAGCAGTACTCTTTCTCCCTCTACTCCCGGTGGTTTATCCATCCGTCTGGAAAGTAGTTGCTTCCCAGTGTTTACCACTCAGATCCACACCCTCTCCTCTCATTGTCCTTCCTGGTGTCCGAGGCCAGCTCAGACAGGCGGGATCATCACCCCATTATGTTCTTTAAGACGTGTGCACACAAACAAACAGTAAACTCCAGGTAAGAGAACCTGCTAAGCAGATAGTCACACACACATTTGAAGACCACATGCAACCAGATGCACACGAGTTGGTATAATCCTCACTGTTTACAACAACCTGTTTTCATGTTCTCCTATGTGAGTGTGATGGTGCTCAAGTTTAAAGTGTTTCACAGATGCAGCTTAGGTGGACGCATCTCTGTTATCCTGGTTATAATCTGTTAACCTGCTAAGTGTGAAAACAAACTTCCAATCCTGCTTTGCTGGTTGGGATCGCTGTTCCCACCAGATGACACTGACAGGGAAATAAATGGTAAACAATATGAATAAATGCATGTTGACTTCTGTCGACACACAGGGGAGACATAATATGTTATGTAATCTGTACAGATTGAAAGTAGAGTTGTCACATAATGTGTGTTGACACCGAGAGAAGAGAAGACCCTTACACCCATCTAGTGGTCTCTAGAATAACTGTAGCTTTTGGCATATCTTGTACTCAATGCAAAGCAGCTGCTGCATTTCTTATACACAGATATTTTGAGGGGCTTCCCCTCAGAATTTGGATTTAATAGTAACACCTGTTCAATATAATGCAACACTTTATACATATTATTTTTTACACTTATACAGTATACATAAATTGGCCCGTAATTGTTAAGGTCACTGAAGAAAAAGGCTAAACTATGAGCTTCATCACTTTATCCCCTATAGGTTATTATGTTTGAAGAAAAAAAACCTTTCAAACTAAATTGACCTTGTTTCATGTTTTTGTATGGTCAAAATGGTGTCTCTGTCACAGTGGCGAGCCGTCAGCTCGTTTTTTCGTTTTTCTGTTCTTACTGTTAAAACAAGTATACCACTCATAGACTGTATATATAAAGATACCACTCAATGTTTCGTTTCCATAGATGGGTGGGTCTCCAGTGCCTCCTTGCTTCTGATTGGCTAGTTTGCCCTATGCTTGCGCTGTACTCTTCAAAATAAAGGTTCATACTCTTTGCGTATTCAGAGATGCTGTATGAGAAACCAATATGATTTTGGAAAATTGCACAATATAAATCTATTTTAGTAGACCTCAACAATGGAATTATGATCAGTAGAAATGGCCATGACATGGGACCTTTAAATGTAATGAAAAAGCCAACTCAATAGTGTGTTAAAAATAGACTTTAGGATATTGTAAAACAAAAATCTACTATATAGTGTATTCTTAACCCTCCTTTATCTTCACATTTGCTTTACACCCTCTATCCTTGGTGGTCATTTTGACCCCAGGAGTTTAAAGCTCAAGAAAATGATCATATTCAAAATTGTTATACCAAAATGTATGTTTCAAGTACTTTATGTTTCTTAGTTAACTATCTAAATATCCATTTAAATAAAACACTACCCCCACCTCCCCCTCCACCCACAGCATTATACATCCATAATTCATATTATGTGACCATTGTAAAATATATAAATCACCATAAAATCTCACTGATTGACGCAACATTTTAAAGGATGATCTTTTTGCTGTTGTCAAAGGATCTATATTATTTCCAAGTACAATTTTGGCCTTTAAGAAATGTACAGTATATTATCAAGGATAGTAACATTTATTGTGTTTGGGGTCAATATGGAAATATTTCCCTTCCAGTGTCAGCATTCCAAAGGCATGCCATTGCCTCCCTTTTTGATTTCTACACTCAATGTGGGCTTGTAAGTGGTTCCCACCCAACTCCTAACTGTCCCATGCATGCACCTCACCTTTAAATTCACAATCTCAAGTATATTGTCTATCAATCCTCTATTGATGGTGTTATGAAGAGCTCAATGCTGACTTCAGGTCTTAGACATGGCTGACAGCGTATCTTGTGGGGCCTGGAGCCATTTTCATTACATAAGCAGCACTAAACGTACCCTGTTTTTCACGTGGGGAGCGGGACCAAGATAACTTTCCATTTTTGGAAAGTAATGTTTCTGCTTGTGTTTGACAGACAACAGGAGCATCTGCATGGGGTATTCAGGGTGGACAATTTGACAGAGGATTTCTCTGAAAGTACAAAATAAAAGTATTTTATAGTCTTTGCGCTAGTAGTCTAACTACTGAGTCAAAAATGATCAGTCTTCTTAAGAACTTTTAAAGTATTTGTATTGCTCGTCACATATAGCAGCAAGACAGGCATTGTTGTACCATGGAGGGGACTTTGACAGGAGAGTATCAAGAAGTACACACAGTAAAAGTATTTCATAGTATTTGGGACAGTTGTAACTACAACTGATTCCAACTTCATCAGTCTTATGAAAAACGTATGGCCAAAAATAATGTTATCGCTCATCAAAGATAGCAGAAGCTTGTCATTTTTGAAGAGGCCTAGGTATAAAAGTCACGGCTCGCCACTGCTCTGTCACAAACACAAAGAAGAAGAAGAAGAGCGGAACCATTGATTCACGTCTTGTTTCTGCCGGTTGACAAAACTGGCGCACGGGCGGTTTGCAGTTCAAAACATTATGGCGTCCAGAAGAACATCATTAGCGCCGAGCTCTTTCAAAAGTGCTTCCGCTGACACCAAACGGTAACTGTATTTCTCATTGTATTATCCTTTCTCGTATTCCTTTCTTTTAAGTGTCGTGTAATTTTACACGTTTACGATGTAGATTTATGTTCCATGTAGAAAACACCTACTTGAGCTGTTTTTAAATAACACGCTATAATCTTTTGTTAACCATAAACGTCACTGTTTCACTACTTTAAACTCACAAATACGCTGTAAATGTTAATACAATTGCACACTTTAAAATGTAACAATAAGTTATCGGTAGCTTGGAGCAAACATTATAGCTTAGCTTCCGGTTTCGCCTGTTTTCATAATAAATTAAAAAACCGATAACTTTGTAATTTGTGCTCTAATTTCAACATTATTGAAAGTAACTTGTACTTTTTATTCATTTGTTTTCAGCTCGAAAAGTGGCAGCAATGCTGTTAAAGTCACAGTCAGTGAACCTGGAAAGAAACCTGTTAAAAGTAAGCATTTGCATGGGTTCATGTGTGGGTTCTGTAACATATTTCCTGTCCAACATTTCCTCAGTTATATAAAGCCCTGCTATGTGCTGTCATCTTTAAAGCTTCATAATATTCAACCAATTTCTTTCTTCTTTTTTATTGTCCATGTCTTTATCAATCTTTAGCAAGTGGGACTGTTGTCAAGTCTCGCTATATGCAGTCTGCTGAGAAGTCATCTATCTCAAAGGTAGTGCTATCTTCCTTTGTCTTTTTTAATTTGGATGTAATGATCTGTTTCACACGTGCTTATTCAACTATAGCAGCCTTTGTTACTTAGAATATAGAATGCTGCCAATATCCAATTCATTTCTTAAAGGTCACCTATTATGCAAAATCCACTTGTTCCTGTCTTTTCTACATCAACATGTGTCCCCTCTGTGTAAAGAGATTCTGAAAGTTTCAGGAACAAAGACCCCCTCTCTTTTTGTCCTGATCCATTTATATAAAAACCTGTCGGAAAATGAGCTGATCAGATTTTGGCCGCTTTATGATGTCATAACGATTTTTTGGCTTATGTAACCATTAGCCAATCACCAACCAAGGCAATCATCTCTTAAATGATTAGTTAAATTGTGCCTCCCTTGTATGCATGCAGTTGTGGTGTCTGTCTGTTTACACTGCTGGTATTTCACATTTGTAGCTCATTGTACCCCTATGAACATTTACAGAGTAACTCACTGACCGATGAGTCCTTTGCTGTGCCGCTGAAGCCGTCCTCACCTAAACCCAGTGGAGTCAAACCGAGAGTGGGCACCCCCCCGAGACGCTCCATGGCCCCACAGGCTAGACGTAAGGCCTTCCTATGTTAATAACTGAATTAAACAGATGTCATGACAAATAAGATCATTTTTAATTGTAATTATGTGAATTTTAATCCGAGAGTATGGTTATTGAAGTGTTCTACAGCAGCATGGTGTATTTCCAATTTGAAAAGACAGATAGATGAGAAGAAAGCTATGAATTAGGGATGGGAATGATGAATTGAATATGAGTTATGAATATTTTGTATTGTAATTTTTTTTTTTATTTATGTGAGGGGTGCCTAAGTTGATTACATATTATAAAATGGATTAATTAAATGTACACGATAGTGCCATTTAAAATATCTTAAGAAAAATATCAAAGAAAACTTTGTTTGGTTTCTATATTTATTTGAACATTTATTTCTTATTACAACTTTTTTTTTTTTTTTTTAAACATTTAAAAAATGTATAGGATGTTAACCCTTTTTTGGGGGTCGAATATTAGAATATAAATTTGCTTTAAATTCCCATCCCTACCATGAATAACTCCAGCATGTTGTTTTCCTTGTGTCCTCTGAAGCTGAGGCTTCATTGCTCGGTAGAAGTATCTTGCATTCCACTTTCTCAGATGGACACTGCTTCCAACCAAATTTTGACATTTCAGTCATTAAAGGTAAACCGATTTAAAAATTCCTAACATGTTTGAAGTTTTGTACAAATAAGACAACAATTTTAACGTTTTTTTTCTAAAACTCTTGAAGAGAAAACAATTATGGAAAATGCAGCAGAGCCCGAGAGAAATCCAGAGACAGAGAAGTGGAACATTGAGATGCAGACATTCCTGCTGGCCTATCTCACAGCTGAGGTGAGTTTGTCCAACTTAGTGTACATTTGATTTGCTAAAACATGCTTTCAATGCATCTGTTTTCTTAAATAATTGTAATAAAAAAACCTCATATGGCAGTTTTGAGTGTCCCTTAATCTTTGTCTTCAGATGGAGAGCAACACTGCAAAGCTTAAGGCTGAGGCAGAAGCAAGGATCCTGCAGGAGATGGAGGACGAAGAGGCTCTGTATAATGAAGTCCAGGAGAAGAAACGTCAGTACCTCGTCATGGAGAAGGACAGGCTAGCGAATGAGCTACTAGATTTACAGGTCAGGATATCATCTTATTTTGTAATTACCTTTTTGAATTGTGTCCCGTCTTAAAAATGTTATTAAATGTTGAAAAAACACTTTAAAATGTCCATCTGTATTGGTAGCATATCACATTTATAACTGTAGACTTGGTGCTGTTTCAAAGTCATACCCCGTTGAGGGTCATTGGGTTATATCTGAGCCTTCGCAGCAGCTGGCCCTAGGCTCTGGAACAGTCTGCCCCTCCATGTGAGGTCGGCCCAGACCCTAGGGGTTTTTAAATCCTCACTGAAGACACACTTCTTCTCTCTGGCCTTCTAGTCAGAGCTGAGTACGACTCCTGACATTTCCTTGTGTTTTGTTTTTATATTTCCGTTGTAAATTATTGTCTTTTCTTGTTATTCGTGGGGTCTTAAAAAGTATTAAAAGTTGATAAATCAATTTAGCGAAAATGAACGCTATTAAAAAGCATTAAACGGCATTTTCCAAGGTATTAAATGTTGTAACTTGTTTTCAATAAGTATATAAATTGTCCAAAGAGGTTGTATTCTAAAGTCTGCCTGAATGTAATCATTGCGTAGGTGTGTAGTGTGATTCTGTGTAGTTTATTTATGGCATCCCGTTAGAACTCGAAGTGGCGATGAGGTCTTAACATGTATGGAAAGGGTCTTAAAAGGTATTACATTTGACTTCAGGATTCCTGCATATACCCTGTTATTGTAGTAAAGTGTTTTTATTACATGTACAGCACTTTGGCTCGACCAAAAATCGTTTTTAAATGTGCTCTATAAATAAAACTTGATTTGATTGATAATGTTTTTAAACAGAAAAAACAACTGGAGAATACCTTGTTTTAGAATTTTCTTTTTCATTTTTGTGCATTGTATTTAAGATAGTATAAGTACATGATTCTCATCCTACTAATATTTTAATTTTCCATCAGATAGCTGCTCTGACTCCTGTGGCAGAAACTGCCAAACAGTTCACAAAGAACTACAAGTCCTTCGCCTCAGCTGTCGACACCACCCGCCACGAGCTGCCAGTGAAGAACTTCTACATCGACGGGGACAGAAAGGAGTTTCTAGGTAGTTACTACGTTTAAAAGCTCAAAACAGAGATGAAACACTCAGTAACACGAGATAAATAACACCTTTTAAAAATGATAATCTGATTCCTAATTAGATCAATATTAACCGATTGAAATATCTGATGGCACCTTTCTTTAACACAGTCCTGTCTACTTCACACCTATGAGATGAGCAAAACAAATATGTAAATAAAGTGGTGCTGTGACGCGTCCTAAAACCCGGAAGTGAGTTAGCATTTTACCACTACCGGTTCCCTCGTCTCAGAGCCAACGGGATTTGCCATAGGGTTTTGGAAAATATCTGGAAAGGTCTTTGGTTGACACAAATTTAAGAGACGGATCACGTTTTGTTCTACGACATTAAATCCATCAGCAGTGACCTCACTGGTGATTTTTTAAGAGTTTACGTGTCTGAAAAACGATGGTTGTTAACAAGTGGCTGAATATAGGACTACAAAAGTTGTCAAGGCCGTTGTACGTCATTACGCCGAACACGTAAACACTCCTCTAAGTTTGTTTGACCTGTTCTGCTTGAAAGCAAGTGCCTGCCTCCTGCAAACTGTTCAAACAAACGCTTCAACTTGTACAATTTAGAATCTGTATTTTTGAATATGGATCTTAAGTTGGCGTGACGTTGAAGTCGTGCGACCCTGCTGTAGTTCGTTTAGCATAACGTTTTGCTTCTGGCGATTAGATTTATGATTCGAAAATTATAAAAGTAGGGTAGACGTGGAGATTATCCGGCTGAACAAAACGTGAATTTATCAAACGGGTTCGTTTTCCACAGACCTTATTTCGAGCTATTTTCCAAAATCCTATGGAGAACTCCCATGCGCAGCTTACTTCCGGGTAAATACGTCATCCCTGCACCACTCTATTAACTAGTGTTATTTTCACTTTTGACAGATATTGCTGTGCTGTAGGAATGTAATGGTCATAGAAGTTGGTTATCAGTATATTAAAACAAAAAGAATGCTGTTTTGTGCTTCTTGACATTTTTTATATTCCATGTAACCTTACCATGTGATTTGAATATTGCAACTTGTGATACATGTTATGTAATAATGTCAACCTTTACTCACCCATTTCAGATAAAGCTGAGGCCTGCCTGAAGGTGAGTGAGAAGCTGCTGGAGGAGTGCACAGAGGGAGATCAGAAGGACACCAGCACTTCTCTAGAGTGCCTCAGAGACATTAAGACGACATCAAAGGACATCAGTCAGCAGCTGTCGGGGTACGAACATTATACAGAGAACGTGTCTTTGGGAACCTGGTGATGCTGTGAATGTTCTGTTATGTGCTATTTTGTTCTTGTTTTTTTCTTCCCAGAGGATTTGACTATATGGCTCTGTTTATGAAAGTCTTCTTTAAATATATATTTATTTCCTATTTATATAGCTGAAACCAGATAGATCCTTTACTTTTAAAGAATGTATCCTATGGCGCTTATTCAAAAGGCAAGGCAAGTTTATTTACATAGCACCTTTCAACACAAGGCAATTCAAAGTGCTTTACAAAAATGAAAGACATTCAGAAAATGGCATTTAAAAAGCAAAGATAATAAAATAAACATTAAAAGAGAAAAGACATGAATATAAGTTACAGTGCAGTGTAAGATATGAATAGTTCAATTAAAAGAAGCGGCAAAAAGAAAAATACATCTATACTTTTGACCATGTGAAAGTAAAATTCATTATAATAATAAAAATAATTAATAACAGTGAAATTAATGTACGCTGCCTGCTATTTTATATTAGGCTTATTTTAAAGCTTCTGTCATCAAATGGTCCGTGAATACTACCAGAACGTCCTTGCTGAAATAGAACTATATTCTTGCTCAGACCACTGATATATGTTTACAATACAAATAAAATACTACGTGACGCATACAGTTTGTGCTCCTGTTACCGCAAGCCTTCTTTTGGTGGAGTGCCTAATGAATTGTTAGGAAGTTTGGAAAATGTGTTTCCTCACGTGAGAATCTGTATCGCTTATAGATGAGTATTGACTAATCAATAGTCATCTAACCAAAGGAGTTGATTAGTGGAAGACAGCATTTTGTTTTGTGACAATGAAAACTCTGACTTTAGGCTAAAACACACACATCTCCCTGTGTGGTCGATCTGTTTGGTTGCATTTTTATTCACACATTGGTATTTTCTTCATTTTTCTAGCACATTTTCAGAGCTCCTGGAGGTGTCTTCACTCGTCTGCCGCCATACAATAAATGTCCATCAGGCCACGGAGGAGGAGCAGCTCGGCCCTGCAAGAACCCTGAAGCTCTATTGCCCCAAAGTGTGAAGAATACCCCACAGCATGGGAGCATGGGATGCACAGAACAGGCACTTTGGATACCCCCCCCCCCCCGTTTGTATGTACATGTACTTTTTTTTGTTTATGTTTGTCTGTTTCTTATATACTGATTGATTTCTTTGTAGCTGTATTATAATAATAAAAATGTTGAATTATGACTGAAACTGTTTAATGGTCGGGACATTGTTCATAAATACAACAACACATATAACATTAACAGTCAACATGAGCATACAAATAAGAAGCAACTCAAAAATGGAAAACCTTTTCAAGTTTTGTTTAATATACCTACAGAAAAAAACCTAAATCTGAAAGGAGTCATGGTTATTGGTTAATTTATGTGACCCTTATTGTTCAAGTGAGATGGAAAGACAATTTGAAATGTTATTTATGTTCACAACAATAACACATGTATTCAATAAGATTTGGGAACAGTGTTAAGTTTGTGTATTTGTTTTGTCATCCATCCCTAGCTTGTGTTTGCCAATTGAAATGAACATTAAAGGGGCTTTGACACATTTTTGCAAATGGTGATTCAATACTTTGATTGATGAACAAAGATCTGTGAGTCTTTAACCATATACATCTTAGGTATAGAGCATATAGAAACTCATCATTGCAAACTGTATAGCCTAACTGGATGGTCCTCACTTACTATGCGTAGGATGCAGCGTTGGTTTTTATTAATGTATAAAGCCATTTTAGGTAAGCTTCCACTGTACATATGTGCCAGATTTGCTCCAGTTTGTGACTTACAACCTCAGATCCAGTGCCTGGATACGGTTCCAGGTTCCTGCTGTGCGGACTGAGGCTGGAAAAAGGAGTATTTTTTTTAATTATGGTCCTTGGTCTTGGAATGACCTTCAATCAAGCCTGAAACTGAGGGCACTTGTCTCAATAGCATGTTTTAAATTGAAGTTGTCTGAAGTCCTTACCACCAGCTGCTCTTGCAGTAATAAGTAGTGTACCTTTCTTACTGTCCTAATGTGCACAATGTAGTGACTGCTTTTTCGTCTTTTGTTTTCTTAGTTATGTTCTCTGTATTTTATATGTTTGTGTTATGTGTTATGTGTAACGTTGCTGCCTTCTTGGCCAGGTCAGCATTGAAAATGAGATTTTATCAATGCTTTTTTATCTGGTTAAATAAAGGTTAAATACATTTAATTGTCTTATTTACGTACCTAAATAGCATTCAGTGTAAAAACATTTAAGTATTACCTTACTTTCCAAGAAGTCTGATTTTAGTTATTTAATGGTATTGACATAATACATTTTAAGATGAAATAAAGGGTGGTCTTCCTCTTACCTGTCATTTTAACATTGCCAAATTGAAAACATTTGGATAGTTGTATGGGCATACAACTATCCAAATGTTTTCAACAACCTTTTAAGTCATAGATGTTTTAAGTTTGGAAGTTGTGTTACATTCATAACTTTCCCCACAATACTGCTTCCGGAAGTGACGTAACACCAAAACAGCATTTTAATTGGCTGATTCTGTAAAGTGACGGTCGGTCTCTTTCAAAGGACCAATGAGCCGCAGGAGAGCGCCTCGTCGCATGTGAGTACATGCACTTTATTTCACATATTTATTAAAGACGTCATTATAAAATGTGTCCAAAGGCAATTCTACTATTGTATCTTGACCGTTTGCATTTATATAACTTACATATTGTTTGATAGTAGAAACAATATTCGCACGATATCTGTGTTTGCTAGCTGGCTAACGTCGAAGCTAATGGCTAACCCTTATTTACCTTTAGATATTAGCAATTTACAGCTAACGTTACCTTTACCAGTCCGTTATAAACATCTTAAACCTGGTTAAATCTAGCTGTTTTATCCTTTGTTGCATCACTTTAGAAAAAGCAGCGAACACAATGTAAAGATCTTAGATAGAGCTATCATGACAGCAGTGATTACACGCTTTGCTATTTCAGATTTAGTGTTATTAAAGAAGTATATGGACCTGCTTTAACTTCACCCTTAGATTGTTCGAGTGCAGCTCAAATGTAAAGGAAGTGTCTGCTAATGTGTTAATTCATACCATACAAATGAACAGAATAGGTTAAGGGGGAAAAGGTGACCATACTAGCAGAACTTAATTTAGTTAAATATGAATGATTTTTGTCTATTAGGGCCAAGACAAAGATTTAAATTAACTTTTGTGTCACCAAGCCACTCAATAGAATACCAGTGGATGTGTGTGTGGTGCCTGATGTAAATCTAGAAGCCTCTTGAATATTTTACCAACATTTTGCTGGCCTTGTTTATTTTGTGCCATGGCCACCAAACAAAAGGAGAAGCCGTTCTTTTGTATGCTTTACGTTTTAAACTAACAACAAAACTCTCTTCCCAGCTCTCTCTCGCAGAGGAGGGATGCCCCTGCGGGAGGAGAATGGAGACAGAGGACTGAAGAGCAATGGCGAGGCAAAGCCCAGGTGAGAGAGGTGGAGGAGGAGGAAAGACAAGAGCATCATGGGAAAGAAAGTGTGCCCAGGGGAACCTGCCAGACCATGTGTCCCACTCGTGAGCTGCAGGACCGCCAGCTGCAGAACTGCCTCCATCGCTTTGAGTTGTTGGCGGGCACGGAGAGAGATCGACGACCCAGAGGAGACCCCCTGCGTGCTGTCAAAGAATATTCCAGACCAGCAGCTGGAAAAGACTCCACAAACTCCTCTGACCTCCGTCCAGCTGCTGTGTTACTGAAAACTGTGTGTTACCTTATAGATAAGGTTGCTGCCTCCCCTCACCTGCGTCCATGGACAGAGGCAAGTGTTATTTCCCCAGTCACTCGGTTTTTATAATATTCAATTTTTGTCATTTATTAAGGATTTGAACATTTGGCATCAACAACTCAAGCACATAAACTCCTGCCCATTGTGTAATTTGTAAGTATTGTAAGTATTATTATTTGTGGTGTTTAGGTACTACACATTGATCAGAGGCCTGTACTATGAAGCCGGATTTTCGCTTAGCCGGCTGACTTCAGGGAAAACTCGGGCTTTCCGGTCCTACGACGCTGGTTCTCTTTTTAGCGGGCTAGATCTCCATGGTAACTTATGCTGAGCGGCTAACCTCCTCGGGAGGAGGTTAGGTTGCAGGCTAAGAGATCAACTCAGTGAAAGCACCGCCTGCTGACCAATCAGAGCTCCGTGTGCGGAGTTTAAAGCTATCAAGTCATATTACAGGATAGAGGAAATACAGAAAAACTGCCGTTGCAGGAAAGACGGCCGGCAAAAATCAACTGACTGTGTGAACGTGAAAATTAATAGAATATCCCCTCCCATCTTCAGAGCAATCTGACTATTATAACATTAGCGTTAAGAAAGCTTACTTAAATATCTGCCACAACATAAGTAACCGGATCAGAGTAACATTAAGTACAGTCCGCGGCACTGTGAGTGCAGACGTCGATGTGTCCCATTATCATTCATATCATAATGTATCATATATTTCCTTATCTGAGTCAGCTTCTTGAGCCATATCTGGCCGTGCAACACTCACAGTGTCACATACTGTATGCAGAAGTATTATTTTAAGCAACACATTAAGTTGACGAAACACTCGAGTTAAATTCTCCTAATTAAAGTCAGATCCACTCGTGTCTTGGACGGGGCAGTGATTTCATAAACCTGTTAATGTACGCATTCAAACGCTTTTTCTTTTACCAGCTGTATTCACCTTGCAGGTGCAGCTATGTGGCTTTTATCCTGGAAAAAGTGTTTAAGTCATGGATGTTTAAAGTTTAACTTCTTCATATTTATCTAATATTAAAGTTCACTTTTCATTCAGGAAGTATGACACTGCGCTGTCAGTACGCTTGTCCGTGTTTGAGATTGGTCGAATGCTCCAAATACCACCCCTTTCATGTGAACGCGCACCTAACTAGATAGGACACGGCTGGCTTGAGCGATCCACTTGATAACCAGCGTCGTAGTACAGTTTAGCGAGAGCGCGTATGTTTTGGATTGGGCCAACCGGCTAACTCCAACATATCCAGGTTAAGAAAATCCGGCTTCGTAGTACAGGCCTCTGGGGAAGCGTTGCAACAAAACTTTATGTGCAATTTAGAAATAATGCAGGAGTTAATTTGCAAATGTTGAACGACTACACTCTCCTACTCACCTGTCTCATTGTGTTAACTCTACTGCAACACACAGACGAGTAAGCACAGCTTCATATAAACATGTCTGTCATCAATCTTTTCTTTAAAGTGCCAAAAAGCCCATAATGAACACATAACAATGTGAGCAAATGTTTGGCTTTTGGAAAGTGCAATCGTTTTAATACGTACTGTAGCACAAGCTGTGTGGTATTGTTTGTAATACAATTCCACATTTTATAGCAACCATTTTAATTCATAATAAATCTTTTGCTGAAAATCACTGGTGAAACACCATAATATACGGATCTCAGCTAATAAATTGGTTGTGGATATGGTTACTTTTACAAGCCCAATACGATGCATGCAATCATTAACACATAAAAACTATTCACAACCTATATTAACATAAGTGTAACTTGTCTTCCAGGTGTACAACTATGTCTTTGATCGGCTGCGTGGTGTGAAGCAGGACATGATCATCCAGAGGACGTCCGGGTTAAACTGTGTGGCCATTTTAGAGCGGACGGTGCGGTTCCTCATCTACGCCTCGTACCGGCTCTGTGGTGAACCTCTGCGGCTCTACGACCCACGCATCAACGACACACACCTGCAGGAGAACCTGAGCTGGCTGCTGGACTGTTACGCAACTGGAACAGAACCGCATCCCAACCAGGAAGAGTTCCAGGCTCTCGGTCTGCTCTACAACTTGGGTTGGTCGCCGTGTTTCATTGTTTAACACAAGTTGTTTTGGGGGGGTTGATTTGCTTTCATGTTAAAGCATCATATAAATATATAAGCATGATGTCAAGGCAGAGATCTGTTGAAAAAGCCAGTCTGTGTAGCATTCCCTCTCTGAATAAGTTATAATTTGCCCTCAGTGCTTTTCACATTAAAACGCAACATTTTGTCAACTTCAACAAAAGCAAGCGGCTGTACTGGAGTCATAACTCTATCTGTACCTCTTTCTGCTTTCATCAGATTCAATAATATACATTTAAAGGAAATGTGTATTGCTGGTCACCTGTAAGAATAATCTTTATTATCTTTTTTATTGTCAGAAAAAAAAACATTCAAGGTAAAAATAAAAAAAATTAAAATGAATTCTCAAATAGTCTGTCATGTTCAACAGGGGCAAGAAGAAGCTTAAAAAACTTTTCTGGTCCTACCCCCTCAGAGGTAAAAACTAAATGTTTTGTGCGTGTGTGTTTATGTTGACAAGGAGGTTTAATAACTGTGCTACACAAAACGTGCAGTCAGTTTCATTTTCATCGCCGTTCGTACTGTAGTAGAGTTATCAGGGTATTTTTATTTTAACTCTCGTCCCAAATTCGTCCCAAGATTATTTTTTATCCTCCCCGACCCTATTTTTTTCGGCCCCGGGACGATGGGACGTCCTTAAGCTCGAGCCCTGCCCCCTCTAGCGTACATTTTTCTTGAAAATAAAAGATTAGGTCATCAGCGTCATGTTGTTAACAAATACCTTTTTTTGTACAAAACAACCAAAAAAGGATTAACTTTTACAATGACAAGAAATAACAAGTATGAGTTCACAGGTCCTGCTCATAACCATTAATGATTTGGTTTCTAAATAATAGTTTTAGTTTAACTTGTACAATATTAATGTCAGTAAATAATGTCTTCATGCTTGCTTCTCTTCTCCTCTCCTCCAGGTTCAGCCCGTGCAGCGCAGCACATCATGGAGCTCCCTGAGCGTCTCCGCTGCTCTCCTGCCGTCACGCTCGCTCTTTCCACCAACCGAGCTTACCACGAGCGAAACCCCGTACGCGTGCTCCGATTGGCTCGGAGATTGAACTTCATTCAAAGCTGTGCTCTGCACCGTCACCTGGTGTCATGTCGCAGAGATCTGCTGGTCATATACAGCCACGGATTCAGCAGCCGCAACTGTCGCTTTCCTCTGGACCGACTGGCTCAGCTCTTGTGTTTAGACGCGTCTCTCACAACCCGACTCTGCCAGGCGTACGGAGTGGAGGTTAACCGGGACAACCAACTGATCTTCTCCAAGGCAGCTTTCACTGAGCCTGAACAAGAACAACTGCACTGCAAACTCTATCACAACATAGTGGCAGAGAAACAGAGAGACCGCGGTGTTGGCGATATCATTCACGGCTGCACTTAAAACCAGTAAATCAGAAGTACAAATAATCTGAATTTTCACTCAAAATGATCCGTTTTCTCTTATCCCTTCTGAAAGGACATCAGTGCCAATTGCATTAGCCTAAGGTCTAGTCTAAATACACCTCATTGTTGGTTTATCACTTAAAGATGATTGGATTTGAGCCTTGTTTCTTGGTCAAATGTTCAACATAAGGGTCAGGGCTTGTGTTGATCTATTGTCTACAATGCTCCACCTGTGAGAGGCTGAACTCAGGCAAAACAAAAAAAGATGTCCCTCTTGGTTCTGGATATTCTTTTCAACCTGATCATGAACATGGTGCCTGAAATACTTTTAAAATGTGAATTACTTTTACAATGTTACACTTGACTGTTTATCATGTTACTTTGTAAATGTTATGTCAATGCCATTTTGTGTTTTTATGTGACGCATTTCAGAAAACCTGCTGGAAAATCTACGATGCATCAATGCTCATTCAATCTCATCAATGCAGTACCTCAAAAGTATTTAAATAAATGTTTTTCTACCTAAAAGCAAACGGTCTTGGTCTTTTATTTGAGAGACTTAACTGCATCTAACCTCGCTTACCACTTGAGGGCAGCAGATATCTACAGAGAGCATCTCCAACTCCAACAAGTACAACAATAAGTGGCTTAAATGTAAGTAATCCTTCTTAAAGTGTTTCATTTTTTTGATGTTCTTTGAAGTCTGTATCCCAGTTTAGGCGTCTTGTGAGGTTTTCCAAAGCAAAAGCAACCGGTTGAAGCTGGTAACTCTTCTGGGATGTGTCCTGGAGCAGAAGTATGTTAGGCCTACATGTGCAGGTAATTTACGGTGTTCTCAGCAGCAGCTCCGAGCTGCTCCTTACTCTGGGGTTAGTCCTGCTGCAGCTCAGAGGGGAGAGCAGCTATTGAAGGGAATGAAGTGCAGCCTGATCTCCAGGAACAATCGAGGGAAGCAATAGTTGCACGGACTTTTTTTACATGTCAAACATTTCTTTACTGCTGGCTGAAGTGGGAGGACGCTTCCAATTTGTAATGCTGAAATATGAGAGAACGGAACCGGGGCGGGTGAAGGCACATGGGAGAGGACTGTCCGTGTACTCGGGGCTCTGAAAGGAGGAAAAAAAAACACGCTTGGAAGTGGATTTGGCGAAGTGGGATGATTAAAAAAAGTTTAAGTTCCGGACGGAGCTCTAAACACCAGCCACGCCAATGGATATAAAGAGCGAGCGAGCTGCAGACTGTTAACATTTCATTTAACCTCTCATCTAGAGTTTGGAGATCCCAAACTCCGATAGAAGACCAGCACTGTGTTGGGGAGTGGGGCCAACATGTTGCGGTGGTCTCTGACAGCTTTGGGTCTTTCATGGACTTTGTTCCTCTGCACCGCGAGCCCCAGTGCTGCCCCGGAGAGACAGTGAGTACTGTGCTGCATGTCTTTGAAGTGAGCTGCAGTGATTTGAACTCACTGCGAGCATTTCCGATGCTCTCAACCGGGAATTTTAAAGAAAAGACTACATAACTTTAATTTAATCTTTACAATTTCACATGAAATGTATAAAATGTTTGTGGTTATAGCAACATAAACGTAACTTTTTAATTGTATATGTGCAGCAAACACTTTGATCGTTAACTTGCAATACTTAATGCATCATTAACCTGTCCTAATCTCTTACTGTTGGTGAGTATGTGAGGATTTCATATCATAACATATGATGACATTGTTCTATCACAACAGCTCTCCATTCATGTTTTTCTTTCATTTGAGTTTTTCATTCACTGCAGCCAGCAGCACACAAAGTGAAATATTCTGAGGTTACTCTGCTGATTCGTTTTCGATATCTGGAATATGTGCAGCTTTTGCAGATGTTTTCTCATGCCTCATAAGATATTGAACAATATTTAAATACATGTGTTTAACAGTAGTCTAATTTATTCAGTTTATGCGTCCAGAGGCTGAAGAGGTCAAATTGACTTTTGTCTTTGTTTTGATCAGTCAGCTTCCGAGGAACTTAATCCTGACATGGTTGTGTTGATAGCAAAGAGTTGTAAACAATTCTTCCAGGTAGTCCAGTTGGGAGGGATTGTGTGCAGCTATATGTAGTGAATTAACCAAACATACTGAGAAATGCAGGCTTTATTCACTGAAGCATCTTACATCTTAATTAAACAGCTGATCTGAGGGTCAAATGTGTTAAAAAAGCAAAAGTCTTAGAACATTGCACCATGTGACTGAACTAAAAAGGACTGGCTGTGAAACACTTCATCTACAAAAGAGAGCACAAATCCTTCTCAGGCACCGACCAGCTCTCAGCTGAGGAGAAAGAAGTTGGACAAAAACAATGAGAACTTGAGAACAACGAGCCATGTGACTGAAATAAGCGTGGTCCACCACCTGATCCGCGCTCATCCAAGAGCTGGTTAAACTCACTGTAGATCAAACGCTGCAGAGTCAATTTCCTCGTATTATCTTCTTTCTTCCGAAGCCTTGTTTTCCAGGGGATTTTCTCATGACTTTCTCTCTCAGGAACTGCAGTAGCCTCCGGCTGTAATGCTGTAGTGCTGTAATGCCAACCACCTGATCCTTCTCTCAGGCATGCAATTGGGTTTGTGCTCAGGGCTTTGCTCACTCCTAATTTGTGTGATCTTCAGTTATGTTTTCAGCGGGTGAGTGGGCTTGACTAAAAAAAAAAAACGAGGTGGATGACTTGGTTAAGTTGGGAAAAACAAGAAGATATTCAGGTTTCAGGTAGTCGGCTCATGTGGTGGGCATAAATAATTGGGTCTTTTCTCCCATCAAGTAACTTTTAGATATTCAAAAAATACACCATTTGGGGAAATTCTTATAAAAAAAAAAAGCTTTCCTTCGACACCAGCATCTCCAATGGATCACACTACTTCTTCAGTTACACAGGACCATGCCAACAAGAGCATCTGAAGTTGGCGTTTGATGTCTATAAAAGCGCTTTAGAAACATGAATGCATTATAAATATTTGTTTCTTGGGAGGTATAGTCCCTCAGCGCCAGACGCCATATTCTTTCATTGCAAATAAAAGTTAAATTGGGCTTTTTCCTTCCCCCCCGTCCTATCGATGAGCATCAAAGAATGACCTTTGCTCTGTGACCTCAGTGACAGGCTCCTTCCCTCAATTAAATGTCAGAGTGACTGTGTGGAATCTCAGTCGTTATTTTTCAAAACAGACGCCAAGCTTCTGTCAGAGGTGCCGGACCACCCAAAGAGCCAAACCAGAGCAGAAAGCTCATTGGCTTCAACAGGTACTGCGGCGCTGGTAACCGTTGCAATTAAACCTGATCTCGCTGCACAAATCCAGGTGGAATGTCCCTGTTTGTTTGTGTCAGGGAGAAAGTGAGAAACGAATCTGAATTCATGCTCAGTTCACCTGCAGGACATTTCATTACATCACATATCATTTAGCTGATGCTTTTATACAAAGCACAATAAATGCAATCAATCATGAAGCTATACACACTCAAAACAGCAAGAATGCTGCAAGTACATTAGCTCCTAATAAGCCAAACCCTTTTAAAGTGCTACCTCATTGGCTTGACATAAGCCAGACCCTTTAGGTGTTACATATAGAAATGAGAATTCCTTTATTTGATAGATTTTCTTTTTTTATTGGCCAAGATGCACTCGAAACAGGTGGGTCTATAGTGGGCCTGCAACACAAATGTGTATACTATAATTACTGACCTTCACTTTATCTCCTCTCTCGACCTCTCCCTCTTCTACTTTTTCTAACCTGCATTTGTCTCTTCTTTCCCCTTTCATCCTCATTCCTCCCGCTTTTCTTCCTCCTTATCTTTCCCCCACGTCGCTCTCCTTGCTCTCCCCACAGGGGTTATCTGGTCGCTGCCCCCTCGGTGTTTCGAGCCGGCGTGGAGGAGAGTGTGAGCGTCACCATCTTCAACGCCAAGGCAGAGACGCGCGTCCAGGTGCAGCTGACGGTGAAGGGGCAGGCGGTCGCACACAGCCACGGCTCGCTGCTCGGTGAGAACAAAGCTAAGGTTACACCGGCACAATGCATCACTTTTAGAGAGGAAAACGTGCGCTAACAAGTCGAGCTGTGAGACACCATGTTTGTGTGATTTATTGGAAGGATGTGGGGATCACACAAGTGGCAAAAACAGATTGAAGATTGAACTTCTCATAGACACTATCTTTGATTGTAGGCATCAGTTCCACCCATCCCACCAGCCACTCTGTGTATACACTGTGTGATTTGTTTGACAGCACCATTAATAAATGGTGTTTGCTCTACTTCAGAGGGGCATACGGGCTGCAGCTGGATTTCCTGGTCAAAAAAACTCCACAATCTAGTAGCGCTTAAAACTCCTGGAGATTATTACTTTTACACACATGTTTAGACAGATTTCTCAGAATGAAAATGCTCTTCTTACATTAAAATATCTCCTTTTTTCCATTTTAGACAAAGGCACCATCAAACTGAAGGTGAGTCTATCTGTGTGTAACTTTCCTCAGTACAGTAACATGCACGCTGCTGGTTAGTGGTGACAGCTGCACAGTAGTGAGAGCCCCTTGTCCGCTGTGTGCACATTCCTCAGGCAACATGCAAATCAACACTAACATTATTTGTAATGCAACATCTGTCTCTGCTCATTCATTGGGAATAAGGTAACAGCCTCGATATAATACGCAACAGCTGTTGACGTGCATGTATGGTCCGCCGCCCCCGAAGGCTGGAATAGATCAATCTAGTGTACACAACCTCGATTCTTCCCCGCTGTCTCCCTCTCCCTCCCTGGAACCTCCACCCTCATTCTCCTGAAGTACAGTCATGTGTTATAGCGTGGCATCTTCCTCTGGTGTTTAAATGTAGTTTCTTTGCTATGCTGTTACCTTTTATTCCGTAACATCTTGTATTAAGGTGAATTTTTGTTTTTCTTTACTTAGTTTTTCTTTCAGTTTCATTATACAGAGTTATTCTCATTTGAGTCAGCAGTTTTTTCAATTTCCATTTAGCTGTTTGTTTCTACAGAACATATAGAAAGAAGACATCAAAGAAAATAGTACAAAATTAAATCAATACAAAAGTTGAAAAATATCCTGAAAATAATAGATGTATGAAAAGATAAATACATGAATAAAAAATTATATATTAATAATAAGAAATTAAAAAGAAGGCAGGGGGGGTGCGAATTAAGGTGAATTTTGTACAGCAGCCTATAGAGTAAACATTTCAATCCTTCCCCTGTTGACCTAATT